ATATATATATATATATATATATATATATATATATATATATATATATATATATATATATATAGCTTTATTTCAAAAAACACCATCACCATCTGACACTTACCTGAACAAAGTAGATAATTTGCAACATTTTGCGGCAATAGCCGCGAGTTCAGCTTGCTTTCTTTTACGTTCTCGATCTTTCCGAGGCATGGTGACATATATATATATATATATTCTGTCTCAAATCGAAGGTCGTATTGCATAGGTTGTCTAAACTTGGTAATTACAGTAATTGGTAATTAGTGACTCAGTATTGACCCAATGCCTTTTTGGAAAGTTTCTGCTTTTTTGAAAATAAAAAAATGCATCCTTTATGGAAATAAAATTCCTCCACTAGGCCCGAGGTGTCCTATGAAATTTAAATAAATGAAAAAAACATTTTTACTCCAGATTTTGGCCTTGTGCCCAGGCTTAATGGCCTTGTGCCCTAGAAAAAATATGAATAGCCAAGGCCAAAGTGGCTGTGCCCTCCTAAATCCTTATATCTAGCCCTGGTAGTGGTGTAGATTTGAGTAGTAGCGAGTAAGTAAGTAACGAATACAGGCTGTAACGAATCGTTACGAGTATTCAGACGTTCAAGAATTCGTTGCTGACAGTAACGAAATGACTGATCAAAAACCGCCCAATCGGCACTCGCCTTGCAGACTGTTGTTTGCGGCAGCTCTGGCTGGCATGCAGTTGCAGCTGGTTTCCATTATCTGAAGTCTGCGCTCATTGACTGCATGTTGTATGGCCCACATACGAGTCTGATGGGTGGGGTTGGTTAACTGCACTGACTGGCCGGGGTAATTAGTCGCCCATCACCGTTCTAACAACAGAAGATATATGTACATCTTAAGTTCATTGTAGTAACGAGTATTAAATAATGAATACTGGACTGGCGAGTACTCTGTAGTAACGATTACTCAAAAGTAAAGGATAACCACATCACTACTATGCGGTTTGAAGAGGGGACGCAAAGTAATAATTAAGCGATAACGTGTCATTATTATTTTGTATTCCAAAATATCACGCCTGTGATTCGGTCTTTGGCACGAGGCCGCAAGCCATTTATGGGCCTCCACAAAGAAAAATAGTTCCCATGACGTCTGCGAAAGTGGGACCAGCTATCGCTCCAAACCTTCCGCATACCCGGAAAATTCACTTGATTACTGATATTGCCGGTTCTAGTGGTGAAACAACTAGCCAGCTTTTTAACGGAATAACTTCGTAAATGAAAACCATGCCGCAGGCCTAATAAATAAAATATTGTGGCGCTCGAGTGGCAAAGAGATCATTTATTAGCAGACACCTCAAAACAGGGGTGTCAGACTGCAGTCCTGGGGGGCCGTAGCCCTGCACATTTTTGGGTTTCCCCTCATTTAACACATCTGATTCAACTCCTTGTGCTAATTACCTCACAGCTCTTGAGCTGAATCATTTGTGTGGGAACAGGGAAATAACTAAGCTACACAGGGCTCCGGCCCCCCAGGACTGGAGTTTGACACCCCTGCCTTAAAAGGACAGCAGTAAGCAGCGAGTGAGAATAAACTCAATCACATACAGATTTTATGGAGATATAAAAACTTAAAATCCGAAACAGATCAAAATAAATCCAACAAAACGGAATACATATGAACCTTTGCTCCGTGTTGGAGGAGAAGAGACAAATGATTCACCTGTAAAGCTGAAGTGAAATGTCCGAGGGCAGTTATACCCTGATAGAAAGTCTCTTGCCCTGTCAGATTTTTTGGTCGGAACCAAGTGTTGTAATGAATTTATTACAAGCCTCCAAAGTCAAAATTCTGAAGCGAATCTAATGTATTTCAGCAAACAAACTTCTTTCACTAAATGGAGCTTGATTGGGTAGTGCGTTTTCCACCTAAACTGACGACCTACACCTACAGCCGCTTCTGCCTTAGTGTTTTCAGGAAGTGCAGAGCAGTGCGACACTGAGTACACTGCTTTGTAAGCTACTGCATGGTTGGGAGGGGAAAAGGTTCTGTTTTTATTCTGTTTCATTAGTATATGAAAGGAGTGCTCAGCATATATGTGAGAACTTCTTCAGAACAGCTGGAAAAGCATCCCTGGAGGCCACCTCATGAATCTGGTATAGAGAAGACAGTAGGATCAGCCAGAACCTCAAGCAATCAAGGGCCTTGCCTTAGGACCCAATGGAGGATCAGTCATTTCATTAGTATATGACAGGGATAGGTTACCCAGAAATGAACATTCTGTTAACTTTTGCTTTCTAGACACACTAACTCTGACTTTAACATCAGTGGACGGAATTGGTTTCATGTTGATTTGGGGAAAATATACACATATCTTATACCATCCAGATGATGAACTTTCCTAGATAAAACTAATCCTGTCCAAATAGGGCTTTAGATGCATAATCATCATTTAGGTAACGAAATGAAGGGTTCGAGTCTCCACTGCGTGTGCGTCCGCGTGATGTTTGCATGTTCTACCCGCATCATTGTGGGGTTTCCTCTGTACCCACCCAGTCCAAAAAATATGCTAAGGCTAATTGGAGTTACCAAGATATCCATAGGTGTGTGTGAGTGTGCCCTGCGATGGGTCGGTGCCCCATCCTGGGTTGTTCCTTGTCTTGCACCCGTAAGTTCCGTACCCCCTTAAACCTGAATAGGATAAGTATCGTCAGAAAATGGATAGGTGGAATGCATCAATGCAATTTAGATATTTGCCCAGTAGAGGGCAGCATTCAGCAGTGCAAAAACTAATTTGAAGCTTCACACACGCTTGATGACATCAGAGCTCTAGAATGTGAATATGGATGAGGGGTGCGTTTCCCACGGGGGGGGGGGGGGGACCAGGCTGAGGGGAAGAGGATGCATTTTCTAGCTTACAGACAAACGGCTTCTCAGTTTAACGTATCTGCTGGGAAAATGTTCCTCCCGCAGCAGAGGAGTGCCTGAACGCGTGGCCCTTCTGGGAACAGACTGCGGCTCTGCATCACACTGGAGCCCCTGTCCAAGGCCAAAGCCCAATGCAGCCAGACTGGGCCCGCGCTCAGAGGAAGGGTCCTCCAGCTGCTCAAAGCAGACCAAGGTTCTGTCCATCATTAATGAAGAACTGACATGAAAACATTAGCAATGTCAGCAGCCATAGCACCTGCAGTTCAGACTAGGTTATCCATCTAAAGCTATGCAGGTTTGGGCCTGGCCAGTATTTAGATGGGAGACCGACTAGGAAAGCTTGGTTGCTGCTGGAAAAGGTGTTGGTGTGACCAACAGGTTAGTGTGGTCTGTGTGGATTCCAGTGCCCCAGTGCAGTGACGGGGACATTGCTGTCCCCTTCGGATGAGATGTAAAAGGTCCTGACCCTCTGAGGTCATAAAAGATCCCTGGGCATCTTTCCCAGTAGGGGTGTTGTCCTGATGTCCCGGCTAAAGCTACCAACTGTGACCCTATCAAATCCGGCCTCCTAATCATCCCCTCTATCTAACTGATGAATTCTCTCCTGCCCCTTCACCACCTTAGCCACTGTGTACTGGTGCATCCAGTGTCCGCCATCCAGTGGTGGTGGTTGAAGTGGCTCCCCATTGCTTCTGTAAAGCACTTTGGGTGTGTTGAAAAGGGCTGTATAAATGCAACTAAAATTCATTCATACTACACTGCATACAGTAGAGTTATGTGTACAACACAGTCAAGTCACACTCACTAATATTCTCTGGGTTTGATTTAAACCTCAGCAAATTTGTATGTAAAGTTAAATTAGTTCAAAACCAACATGAAGCCCTGGAATGCTTTATGACACAGAGTGCTGTTTAGATTTTATATTTTGTCTGCAGGTATCACGAAAGCTTGAACAGAACCAGTTGACATCAAACCCCTACCAGCTATCCACTGACTGTTATAGACTTAGCGATTTACACATTTATGTAACACAGCATTTTCTTCCTTTACAGGAAATGCGGCCCTTTTGAGTGCACACCCTAAAACCCCAAATAAGGGGCGCACACACATGCAGCGGACTCATTCTGACCCTGAACGTCTGCGTCGTGACCCCTAAGGTTCGAGAGCCTCCTCCTTTCTCCTTTGTGCCCCCTTAGATACACAGAGCCGACAGGGCTGGAAAAGCCAAAAACTGCATCTCGAGGAATGCAATGCTTTAACAAAGAGCGATCGGGAGATGGGAGGCATTGAGGATCGCCGTGGCGACGGTGCTGAGCAGCGTATAAAGGACATGCGGGAAACAGTGGTGCTTATAGAGCAGTGTACCATCAGCCAACCACGCAGAGTAACCCCTAGAGGCCTCCTGGGGGCTGTTGCACTCTGACTAGGTCATTGAGCCTTACTCTGATCTCATAAATCCTAACGAGAGAGAGAGAGAGAGAGAGAGAGAGAGAGAGAGAGTCCCTGCCGATTGCTCCATTACCTGCCCACAGCAGCCAGTGCTGAGTCACACACACCGCGATTAATCACGACGGCCTTTAGCTCTACCCGTCCGCTGCTGGCTGCTTTAACTGCCACCATGTGTGGCACACCCCCACCCCCACCCCCTAGAATGAGCGCCTCTAGCGAAGGGTACTGAGGCCTCGTGCTAGATTCTCACACCACGGCTCGTCCAATCGGCAGCCGGGACATTGTCCCAAGGGAAGGCTCTGGCATTCCGACTTGGCAAGAGGGTTCCTTTCCCAGGGAAGGAGCGCTGTGTTCACAGCGTCGAGGAACAACTCGCCACCCTCACCTCACGGCGCGGGGGCTGTAAGGAGACCATCAGAGAGAGGGGGGCTCAGGCGGTCACTGTCAAGCAGCCACGGTCACGGTCTTAAAATTCATATGTGTTCAGGCGACTGATTCGATGTCACTGCATTTATAGCTATTTTACACTTAGACTTAGCAGAACCAAAGCGATGTATAATTGAGAGAGCAGGGTCAGACGGTCCCTTGAGCAATGGGGGTTAAGGGCCCAATGGTGACATCACTCTGCCCACCCCAGGATTTGAACCAGCAACCTTCTGTTCACAGGTACAGCATCCAAACCCGCTAAGCACCAGTGGAAAAAGGCTCACACTGACACACTGACCTAATGGGAAGATACTTTGTTTGTTCAAGGATTTGTAGCCTGACCAGATGTCAAAACTGTAGAACACTTCAGCCCTCTTGTCTATGGGTGACCACAGCTGTGCGGCACACAGACCCCGAAGGTCTCAAACGGAACAAGGCCCTCCTTCCTGTTCCACTGGGATTGTGGTACTATGTTTTAACTTTATACTACTTTGTTTTGCTGAGGAAGGGCACCAAAGACCTGGTGTGGTGTTGGAGATACATCCATGCTGTCAGTCTCGATCCTCCTTCTGGCCTGCCTTCCACATGGGGGTGTTCACATTCATCTTTCTGCATTCATCATCGGGGGCTTTTTGCCAACGTGTACCAAGCACTAATGTGGCTCTACACCTTAAACAAAACCACAAATCAGGGACGTCCCACTCCAAGCCGGTGCCTGCATTTTTTATTTGATCGTAATTGGTTCTGAGTACAAACCTTAGCCCAGTGCTTTCAGCACAGTAGCTGTGGCTGAAATGTCTGCAGTGTGGACACATTGTAAATTGAAAAAAATTAGCTGCCACCTTTAATGTCTGCAAGGCGAGCATTTCGCAAGGCAGTAGTAACAGAGCTGCGATCAATCCTGCCAATTTGATACAGCACCTAAAAAATAAACACTCTGCGGAATACCGCGAGTTCACTCGGCTAACAGGAAACGGCTGCAGCGAAGCAACACACACTGGAGGATACTATAAAAAAGAGTCTTCATGCTTATATTAAGCTGCTACACCACTTGAGATTGCTTTGCTATGTTGCATTTGTTGTTTTACTATAATGTTGTACTAAGTGTACCTATTTAGTGTACTTTGTTTGTGTGTGTGTGTGTGTGTGTGCGTGTGTATGTATAAATAACCCATTAAGAGAGTTTGGATGCATGTACATTGAATTTATGTTAATAACTTCAGTGTACTTGAAGCGTGCACTGTGGAACTGCATTATGCAAGCGGAACCTCGGCTCTTGAACTTAATCTGCTCCAGAAGGCTGTTCGACAACTTATTTAGTCGAAAACCAAATAAATAAAAAATACAAAATATTGTAAATTGGATTAATCCGTTCCAGACCCCCAAATGACTATTTAAACTGCCTATTTAAACCTGTATAAATACATTCCTAATGCTAAAACCATAAATGAAAACTTTAGAACTCATAAATACATGAAATAGATGAAAATTTAACAGCACTTTTCCTGTACTGTGAAGAGCTAATGGGGTACAATTACGGCCCTTTTAAGCTCTAGCGTGGTTCTCACGACTTAACGTTTTTGGTTTGCTACTATCACTAACCTTCTTAGGACCCCGCGGCAGACAGGTTCTAGGGAGGAAGGGCTGGTTGGTCGAGAACCGAAACCGACACGTTCGACAACAGGGACATTTTTTTTAACTGAACAATATGGTCGAGAACTGAATTGTGTGAGATGTGAAACATTCAAGAATCGAGGTTCCCTGTATAAATATTGGATAATGACTCAGTTTTGGCAGACAATATTAAATGACTCGGATCAGTATAGGGGGCCAAAATCCCTACGCGGTATCAGAGGAAATGCGCCCAAATGAGGCGGAACATCCTGCCTCTGAGGGCAGAGCAGTGACCGGCAGGTGATAATGGGGCTTTTCCATGGCCCTGCTCCCTGCTAGTCGAGGGGCCCCAATTAGCAAGCTCTGCTGTGAGAATCCATCTCGCAGCAGCTCCGGAAAGCCTCCAGAGGAAATACATATTAAAGGGGCTCTTGTCTGGATGAAACCAGAGTCCAGGCAGCTGCAGCTGTGTCAATTAGAGGCAGGGACACTGCTTTCAGGATGCCAGCCAATCACAAGTCACATTTTGGACAAAACGATTAATGTCGTTAAATATATTAGTGACAAAGTTGTTAATCAGAGCCAGCTTGATAAATTAAACCTCAGTGATTTCATTGTAACGCCTCTTCATGAGTTTGTAAAGTAAACCACCCTGACATGTATGTAAGAAATATACATTTTCTTTAACAAAGACAGTAAATTTGGGGCAATATCAGAGTGTTGACCATGGGGTTTGAATTGGTGACCTTCTGATCACAGACACAGTGTTCTAACGCACTGAGCTAGGGATAAGGTAGCTACAGGATTATTGTTACGGAGGAGAGTGTGAGGCCTCTTCCTACCTGTCTCTGCTGGTCCGGCTGAAGATGGAGCCCTGTGAGCCTCTTCTGAGCCAGGCCCGGCGACACCGGGATGGGTAAGTGCTGGTTCCGGAAGTGTCCTGGAGGGTTCTGGCTCTGGGCGGCTATAGAGTGCTGCTGCTTCCTCTGGGGGGCGGCCATCATGGAGCCCCGCAGGCTGACAGAGTCTGACCTATTACAGTCCTTAAAGCTCGGACCTCCATGTCTGCTGAGCTCGACCAGGCTCTCATTCAGAGGTGCCAAGGGAGGGCCCTGGGTTCTGCTCCCAGACTGGCACCCGGCAGCCAGGCCCAGTGTCGTCGACAGCTCAGGTGGCCAACAGAGCGCCCCCTGCTGGCGGACATGCAGCATGGCGGGCACCTGGTTGGCCGCCATCTGCTTCAGCTGCTCTGCATGGGACACCTGCAGCCAGGCTGCCAGGCCCCTGGATGCTCCTGAGGATCCTTGGCTGTCCTGGCTGGAGCCGGCGGTTATCGGGGCACCGCGAGATGTAGAGGAGCTAGCCGCCATGGGGAAGTCCGGCCCAGGAGAGCCCCCGGGGTCCTGCACATAGCCGGGCGAGTACTCAACCTTAATGACCTTCTGCATGGGAGGACACGGCTCACCCACGGCCAGGGAACCTGCTCCATCCAGATCCAGGCTGAAGGAGTCATCCTGCTTGAGAATCTTCTCAAAGTCCGGGTCACTCAATGGGGGTACGGATTTGGTGAGCTCATCAAAGAGTTCCTGCAGGTCGGGGTCGATCTGACCACCGCATTCCTCCTTGAAGCCAAAGACCACGCCTCCTCCTCCGCCAACGGCGCTACCGCATGAGTGAACCTCTTCCGGCTCCTTCTTCATCTCCTTGAGGGTCAAGCTGAAGAGGTCCCGGCACTCTCCGATACCCTGGGAGGTCCTGTCGCTGTCCTTCCTGCTCATAGAGTGACCCATCAGGTGGTTTCCGGATGTGGCCGGCTCATCGCCAAAGACATAGCCGGGGTCCCCCAGAGCATTTCCCTCCACGCAGAGACGCTTGTAGACGGAGCTTAGAACCTCGCCTGATAGCCTGTTCAGTTTGGGGTTGTATTCCGGAGGATGTCCTTCTATCTTTCTCCTCAAGGTTCCATGAAGCTGCAAAAATGAGTTTGAGTAAGACATACAGGCTTAAAGTACAACAAGCAAAATGCAGGAATTTAGAATATCAGTGGTCATTGTTGACACGCCGCAACAAAATGTGTCTTCTGCATTCAACCCATATGTGACATTGTGACACAACAGGCGGCAGTAGTGCTTGGGGGCGGTACCTTGCTAAGGGTACTTCAGTGATACCTTACTGGGTGGGGATTTGAACCAGCAACCTTTCAATTACAAGTGCACTTCCTTAACCATTAGACCACCACTGCCCAAAAAACTTGGCAAAGCACTGATCTCTCACACAAAAACACAGCATAGCTCAGATGTGGTTAAGGCGGCGGACTGGAGTAACTGCGGCTGTACCGTCACTGGAATATAACCAAAGTGCTTGGATAAAAAGAAGCAGTGGTGTAGAGGGCAGCACTGGTGCACCTCATGTTTACCGGGGCACCGAGCCTGTGAGGTGCGCATTAAATATTCACACATGTGGATCATGTGAGTGAAGCTCTCACAGACAGGACCACATTGCCACTGGAACAAGAAAGATTCTATGACTTTTTTCTGATTGGGGGGAGGGTGTAATTTATGCAGTGGGGCCAACCTTATTAACCTGTGACATGTTTAGAGTCAGCGAATGACAGAGGAGGAGACACTCCACAGGCCAATCAGCTTTCAGCTGGGGCCGGTGCCCCTGTGGCCCCACCCCTGTACACAGCTCTGTCTGCATATTACCTGCAGGTTCATGCGAGGACCTGGAGTCCTGAATTACCATCAGGCACCTTCATTTACATTCAGCTTTATTCATCAGTGCTGCAGTGTGTTGCGGCAGTGCGGCTCTCCTCTGCGCTATCCGGCTTTTTTCAGTGACATTTCAGTGCCTTTGTTCTTTCAGCTGGTTTTATGCTAATTGCCATCACGCAGCTCAGCTTCCAGCTTACCCTCTCTGTAGACGGCCAGACCAAGGAATAACACTACTATCGAGTTACCTAGCAATCGGTACTGATCAGAGCCGAGAGTTTATGGGGACCAGGGAGCAGGACAAGCGGGAAAGCCTTGAGAGGAGACTGACTTGGCAAGAGAAACAGGGTAAAGACTATGGTAGGCTAATTCAAAGGGCAACGGATACATGAAACCCTGAAGATGCTTCCGAGGAGGCTAGGGTCTGAGAGAAAGGGCTTCACACACAACCCCTGATGGCCAGTGATGGAGAAGGTACTCACAAAAGTAATCCATTACAGACAAGAGACAGAAAGTTCAGGTCCAAAAAGTAGAAATCCAGACTAAAGTTTTGTTTCAACCATCCAGTTGAAAACTATGTGAATGTGACCTTGTATATTCAACTGGTTGGTTGAAACAAAATTTTGGTCTGTATTTGTACCTTCTGGACCTGAACTTTATACCTCCGCCTGTAATGGATTACTTTTGTGAGGAACTTCCCCAACATTGCTGATGACCCCCCCCATTCGCTGACCTTCGGAGAGAACATGCTGGTGACCCCCCCCCGGGAGCTGCTGAGTAGAGATGCCCATGTGATGCATCGCTCCCTACGGGGAGATTGCACAGCGCGGCCGGTAGCTTTAGCAACGAGAGTCTAGTAGAGAGCGGCAGTGACATTACTGGGGTGCTTATGTTACTGTGCACAGCTGGGTCATCCTGGGGCAGAGGGAAGGGCGCACAGTCAGAGCGGAAAGCTCAACGCTGCAAGATAATATCCTATATACACACACATCACTCATTTACCCACAAATCCTCAGGACAGATCTCGAATAGATCAGCGACTGAAAATAGATTTTCTGATTAACATCTAATGAGCTCAGATGCCGTGCACGTTCATGAGTCTTTCTTCCTTGTTTGGACCTCCTTTCAGCAGGCTGGGGCTCTCCTCATTTGCCTACGGCTAAAACTCACTCCTTTTGAAAGCAAACCGTGCAGAATCCTTGGAGGTTAGTTAACACGATCTCATTGAAAACCAGTTTCAGTTCTCAGGGCCGAAGTGTTCGGTTTGAACTTTGTAAATTCTTTGCTGCCTGAATTATTTGTCCTATCGGAGGAATAGGATTAAACAGCAACGACGTCGAGATGTCCCTGGTGGACCTGCTGAGATCTTACGTCCCTGACAGTGGGGACATAGCGACGCATCTCCATTAGATCCACCTCCCAGGAGATGCAAAGGTAGTACCAGGGTAATGTATGTGTCATTTCCATCCACGAAACAAAAACAGCAGAAAGCCAAGGGTTTGTTTACCATTTTCCCTGAGATTAATCAGGAGGAATATCACACATTGGGGATGAATCCAGGCAAGTAATTTTAATTAACATAAAACAGCGATTGGCCATAGGCCGGCCCCTGGACGGGGAGAGTAAGATAAGCCTGTGGGCTGGGGTTGCTGTCCGCCCTGGAACGCCCGGCAGCGCTGACACACTGCGTCAGACGCTCTGCTCACATTTAAGCTCCTTTGCAAAGACTTTCACCTCATCTGCAGAAGGAATGGAAAGTTCCCTAGGCTGAGGCGGCATATAGAATTTTACACTGTTATACCTCCCAGACATTATTCTGTGGTATAAGGCATTTTGACGATATTCCTAAAAGCATCACTATTCTAAAATTTCATCGGCAAGGTATCGCCAAGATACCTCCCGCTGACGATCAAACATGGTCAGCGAACAGGAGGTTTGAAGGCACGATGCAGGGATCACTGACGTAACAGCGCGACGATCAGGTGACCTGCTTCATGGTGGGGGGGGGCAGGCTGTTTACAGGGCAGCTCCTGGAAAGCCCTGATTGATATGCTGCCCGGATTGCCAGCCATCCCCCCCCCCCCCATCCAAGGATGCTTTGTCACTTTACCTTCCCGGCGAATATCTAGGTAGCATGTCCTCAAAGCTGACTACTGACCCAGGACTTACGCTACTGGCTTCCGGAATAGTGACAGCTCCTAATTATTCCTCTGTCACACAATGGTTGGTCCTTGGAGGCTCCAGCACGAAAGGTCTTCCTGGAAGAGGAGGATTACGTGTGAATCGCCGGCTACAGACCTTAATCAAAATTAGTCCACGTGAGAATTATATAAGCAAACATCCCAACCCCCCAGATTCTTGTCATCAAGTAAAAGTTTCACCAATTAGTCAAACCCAGTCTGTGCTGCCATTATCTAGATGTGATAACGAAGGTGGTAACAAGGAGACGAGACCCTTCCTGACTCCCTGAACTTTTCGTTCACCTATCGTCACACACACACACACACACACACACACACACACACACATATATACACACTCGTAGAGGGTGTGTGATCTTCAGTGAAAATAAAACGAGCTGCCTCACTGCCCTCCTGTGACATTTTTTGTCGTCGTGATTTCATGCTGCCGTCACTGTGATGTCTAAGTCAAATTATTTCCCACTGGCGCAGTGAAGACTCAGTCTTAGTCATGGGGGGGGGGGGGATTATTCACAGGAAAACAGTTTGCTGCATCTTTGATGTGAGTGTGGCCAGGCAGAGTCAGAGAGAGTCTGAATGGGCATTCACTAGGCTGCCCCACAGATATAATCAACCTGTGAAGGTATGTGCCCAACAGAGGAGAGGATTCTGGGAGGGACGGTAAAACTGGAACAGACACAAGCTACACCTGAGTTTTTCTGGTGATGTAAGACGCACAAGCCCCTCCCCATTTCAGGCAAGTCACTGTGTAAATAAGGGCCACTCTTTCCTGAACAATGTGGCTAATGTGCGAGCATGCCCCCCCCCCCCCTCCCCCAGAGCATGGGGTGTTTGCATGCTTTTCTGTCCCATAGCAATGACATGCAGTCGGCTAGTCTGGCCACTCTAAATTCCCCGAAGTATGTCACTGTACTTTGTATGTGACCTTTGATGGACTGGAATCCCATCCAGCATGTCCCCCAGCCCAGTGCCCTGTGATGGACTGGCATCCCATTTAGGGTGTCCCCTAGCCCAGTGCCCTGTGATGGACTGGCATCCCGTCCATGGTGAGCCCAGCCTTGAACCTGGTGATGCTGCCTGGGATACGAACCCAGCATGACCCTGTACTCCATAAGCAGCGGGACATGAACATGGATGGACACCAACACATGTTTTTGACTCTGTGTTGAAACCACACATTCCACAGACTGCTATAAACACAGTGGTGCTATCTAGTAAATTCTCGAAATGGTCTGACCAAAGGAAATTTGGCACGGCAAAGGAGATTTCTGTGGTTGGTTTCCAACACATGTGTGCCCTAATTCTGGGCACTGCAGCGGGCGCCTACGAAAAGTGACAAGACTTTATAAACAGCTGCCCGTTAAAGAGCTAACGAACTTCACCAAAGCTGGCGGTGATCAAGGACGGTGCCACCAACCCATTACTTTAAATGTCTGAGAACTTTTCTCGGAAAACAGTAGATAGAACTTAACTTGTTTGGTGAATGTTGCATCCTCACTTTATTCGAGTAAAAACACTTTGTACATCTCATGTTAACCACTCAATCACATCTATAAAGGCACAGTAGCTTTTGTAACTGCCACAAAGAAAAAAAGAGAGAAAATATGAAGAAAAAAAAAATGCCGACATGGCCAGCTTTAACCATAGCGAGAGTGGGATGGCTGCTTGCCTTTCCCGCTTCGGCCTGGCCGTGCTTACAAGGACTTTAGTGAATATGATTTTATCCGAGTTCCTCGAACGCCTCACTGCTGAAATCCATTTGGGTAAACTGCAGGAGTATGTGGAGAGCTGTGTGGTTTTCACAGGTTCTGCGTGTGAACGGGAAGCCTGAATCCGCAGAGAGAGCCCCCCCCCCCCCCCCCCGCCGGCAGGCCGGGCCCCATTCTTTTGGCCATGAAACAAGCCCTCGTCGTATTGAGTCTCACAGAGGTGTACTGTTCCCAGGGTCGGCCTCCACTTCCTGGGTCTGCTTTTACACTCCGGTCTGGCATTTAATGGCATTGTTAGCTCAGACCAAGCATTTTCTAAGGTGAGGCTGCTCCCTCCCCCCTCCCTGCA